AGAAATCAGATGTCCTGTTTCTGTATAGTGTTGATAGATAGCGGAGTTGGGAGGGTTTGTAATCTTTCTTCCAGTTTTTATAGATGCGCCCATGTATTCACATGCTCGTACTTTAAGGTAATGTTTGGTTTTACCAATATAGGAGATCTTGTAGTCTCCACACATAGATGAGACGTGAACAATGGGCAGTCAACAAACGATCTTTATAGTGGAAACAATTTTTGTATGAAATTGAGTTTCATAATAACTTTCAGGTCAATTTGGGGATAGTAAGTGTTACATAATCTTTTCAACTGTTTTGTGGTAAGAGAGCTCAATGGGTATCTTAGGTGGTTTGATAAACAAGTTAGTTAAGAATGAGGAAGTTATTTTCTCCAAGAAATGCATAGGGTAGCTGTTTCGAAAGAGGGTGCTTTCTGCGGAAGTAATTTCGTTTTGAAGGGCTAGATAGGATGAGGTAAGTATATATTTCTGTTGTAATTACAACTATTGTTTGTTTGTTTTGTACCTCTAGATTACTGATGGTGGAATTATGATTATTCTAAAACATTTAATAAATGCTTCCTATTATCATGTTCATGTTTTGCTTTATCAAGTTACATTTTCTGAAAAATGAGTTGATTACCAATAGAATGGAGGAATAAGAGATCTTCCTGGTCTTGCTCACAATGACAGTAGTAACCTTGCTATAATGTAACATGGATTGATCCTTTGTTTGCTGTATAAGTCAAAACTCTTGATCTGTGTTAATATCCTTGATATTGAAGCCAGTCTGTTTTTCAGTTTAACTTCAAAAAGAACTGATTGTAATTATAGAAATACTGATGTTATAAAAAAGAAGAAAGTATTAAAATATTGCATTAAAATTTCTTTTTTAATCCTTAACCATTCTAATTACCAGACGTAACATACTATAAATCAGAAATTAACCTAAGTGTACCAGCCTGTAAGGAACTTTAATAACTGCAGTTTGTTCTTTTATTGACAGCTGAATACAGTTATGAAATTAATCAGTCTCTGTGTTTTGTAAGGCACTATTTTCTTCAACTTATTATTTATAAGTTAAAGAAGAAAAAGATTGAACTAGGCTAAAAAACCGAAAAATAGTTTGGATGAATCTTTTCTTTCATTTGTTTTTTGACAGCATATACTAATAATATTGATTGCAACTAACAGTAACTACATTTTAAAGGTTATGGTTCTTGCAATGTGCAAAGGTGACTCAGAACTTGTTGGGGATACATATTTAAACTCAATATTAAACTGTTCATCATTTTTCTATACAAATTTCATAAAACCATTATAAAACCAAAAACATAATCCCAAACATATGGGTATTTTAGAGGTACTAAATAAATACCCATAGTAACACACGTATGGTATGTGTATAGACTATTACATATGACCATAACATAAAAAATGTTATATGTCATATAATATTTGTCCTTTTGTACATCAAAGGAACAAGAAATACAAATCATGCATATTATCAACATATTCAAAGGTTATTTTTCAGTACTCTGTAATAACTAAGTCATTTGAAAGTTTTTACAAGTGTTCTGTGTATAATAGTCACATCAATAATTTTTGTTTTCTCCATCTTAGTATGCAAGCCCTCTGTAGCCCATGGATCTGAATTTGCTCATCAGGTATGTAAGTGTTATATTTCTAAAAGAGATGCTTTAATTCCTTCAAAATGTTTCATTGTAAACAGCAAATATGTCATTTGTCAGTCTATCTAATATATGCAAGTAACTTGTAAAGATCATGATTTGCAAGCATTATAAAACAGTGATCAAACTAGGTCTTCCTTTATAAGCAAGAGACACATACTTCAAGTAAATGATTTGCAACTACTAATAGTTTCTGGGATTTCTTATTTGCATATTTTTAAGTTTGAATAGTAGTAGTGGTATGCTTATGGTGTATGCTATGTTATAGACACCAGTTCTCCATATTGATGCAATAGCCTTAGTCATTTGTCTTCCCTCACAGGTAGTTCATTGCTTTCTGATATATATATATCCTTATCTTTCATCCATATGGAGGCATCATTCCTCCGTCATCTTGATGGAAAGGGACTTTGTGACCAGAAGATTGGTGATTGGTCTGGTCATTGTAGATGCTACTTTTTTAGGTTTTTCTTATTCTTTCCACACTTATTAACTTTCTCAACATGGGCTCAGTCAATTTGACCAACCATGTAACTTCTTTGTACTCGATTAAAGTCTTTATAGATTTAATACTTCTAACTTTCAATATAATGTGTATATCTTCACAAAATTTGGCAGTCTTTAAGTTTATATTATAAGTCTTTCATATACAAAAAATCATATTTTTAGTGAATTAGTTTTAATAAAATAAAATAAAGGTTTGTTCATTAATATATTGAGTATTTGTCTTTTGAAAAAAAAAAAAAAGTTAAACATGACCTGAATAAATCTCTCAAATCATGTCTCATTTTATATACAAGTCCAAATCTATGTTCATACAATCAAAAAAGAAATCATGGAAAAATGCTAAAAGTAAATATAGTTTACACAAAATTCTTGTATGACAGCTTTACTAATTCAGAAACAATATTAAAAATAAATAGTAACAATATCTACAAAGTTTGGAAGTAGGTCTGTTCTAAAAGTCAAAATAATTTCTTATCAGAGCCAGCAGTAAGCAGTAGATACTCTGTGAGATCCTTAAATCTGAATGAACCAATAATTGTGATTTCACCTTATATAGATAAAAGTATAAAACAATAAATATTCTAGCTTCTACAATTGCAATTTTCTTTACCAGTACCACTGAAAACAATGTGCTTATTATGTTTCTCACATGGTGTGGTGAAGATTACCAAAGCACACGCTTATGAATATTTCAGCTTTGGACCAAATAATATTTTTTGTACAAATATTAAGTAAATATAAAACACCCTGTTTCTCTCTCAGGGTGGTCTAAGTTAATCACTGTAGTTTTTGCTATGTAGTGTACAAGCTATTTCTGTATATTTCAGTTGCTTCTTTTGAAGCTTATGATAAGTCATACTTTGTGTCCATCCAGGAGAAGAATTGTCAGTGCTCATATAACTCATCTTCAATGCCACTGTAATGACTTTGGCCACCTCAAGATATTTATGATCAGGTCATTCAATGAAATGGACACACTTTCATCAGTTATGAGATAATCCATTGGAATTTTCATGCTGCTGACCTAGCCAGCACTGAATAACAAATTGTACTTTTTCAGCATTGTTATCCAGTCTGCAATCATCATTAGTTTTTAAGTTAATCAGCATTTTCAGTAAAGCATTGTCCAAGTGAACAGTGAACTGCTTCAAATGTATTGTTGGTACTCTTTGACAAATACTAGAATTTTAAGTAGTTGTACAGTATCAATATTTAAGAGCTACTAGACTACAGCTAAAAAAACAGTCACATGCTTCATACCATTCTGTATGTGTGACATTGATGCTTCAATTTCTCTGTCAATGGCATTAGTAATCAGGATAAGTGGGCAGTCTTGATAAGGATAATTCAACATTGATGCCATAAATTTAATATGGTTTAGGAAGTAATGCTTGTTCACATTTGTTGCTATACTTAAAGTTAACAAAGAAGTGTAGTTAATATTGAGAAATTAATCACAAGCCATTGATAATATGACAAAACCCAAAACTCGAGCGCTTTCGATCAGTTGACTATTCTTCTTCAGGAGAACAAAGGGTTTGTAGAGAGAAAAACAAAAAATTATTATTAATTTTCATTATGTATGAAACTTTTGACTGATAGAGATAAATAAAATACATAGGAAGATGAGAGCTAGAGAAAATAGTAATGTAAATCGATACCTGAAATAATAATAACGTAGAGAAATAGAAGCATGAATAAAAATGTGAATAATAATAATAATAAAACTTTACAAACTCAGTTACAAGTTATTCGTAATTTTTTGGAGACGCTCGAATGTCAACAATCTCAGGATTGAGATTGATGCCATTTGGCATTACAGTATTTGACAGTGCTATCCAGTAAGCTTCTTTAATTTCCCTGTTTCTGTTTGATGTAAAATTTGTCTCTATACCTGTCAGTATCATGTTTTTCTCTCTACAAACGAATTCTCCCTTCCGGGAGACTAACGGCTTGAGTTGGGATTGGCTGGTCACCAGATTCAACTCGACTGGGACTTCTGGTTTACATGACGTTACACGTCCTACTATATATTGCATTGCACAGGCTAAAGGTCACCCTTTGTTCTCCTGAAGAAGAATAGTCAATTAATCGAAAGCGCTATAGTTTTGCATCTTATTTTAAGTCTATTACACTTTATATGTGATCCTTTGTGCTAACTCTTTCATCAAAAATGACAAAACCTAGTAAGCTCTGGAACTCTTGTTTGGCCTTAGAGTAGGACCAGTCTTTCAGTATAATATCAGTAGCCATTACATCCCTGCCTACTATATGACTGAAAAATGCCACTTTGTTGTACATTAATGCACACTTTCCTGATTTAAATTTTAAGTTGGCATCTGTAATACTTTGAAATACCATTCTCACATTCTAAGGGATAGCCTGAAATGTACATCCTAAGACTAAACTGTCATCCATATAGATGAAAAACCTTTCCCATTGCAACCTCTGAATATAAACTCTGTCAGCTCCTCAAAAACAACATCATATTACACGGGTTGAATTGAATAGCATGATGTCAATTTCATCAGTCTTCTGAGTGCCAAAAACAGTTTCTGCTTTCATCACAAAGTTTAACTTGCCATTAGCTGAAAGCCAAATTTAACATGTTTGATTTATTGGGTGCTCTTTGTGGCATTCAGACATCCATTCAACTGCATTAAAGTAAATACGTTAACACTTTATTGTGGTTACTCACCTAAAGTTTGCACAAAATGTTGCTATTCCTTCCTTCTTTTCTAATGATAACTACTGGAGATGACCAAGCATTCTCCTGAGTTTGTATTATTCCATTCTTCAACTCCCACTTGATATAAGTAATATCTCTGGTGTTTAAAGGTGTCTGTGTATGTGATTATGATGACACCAGCATATTCCATGAAAAATTTTTTGAGGTTATATTTCTACGTTGAGCTCTGATTGTTAGAACAATACTTAACTATTGTCTTCAAAGCCATTCAAACACACTCTTAGATGCTATACAGCCAGACTGACTTCAGCTACATATCTGGTCTGTTTCACTTATTAATTCTGTAACATTGTCAGTGACTTAGCTAATGATGAATAGCCAAATGTCCATAATTACAGATCAGCACTCAGATGGAATAACTTGCATTCACAGTTTGATTTTTGAACAGAAAATAGGGTTTTTCTTTCTTAGATTTTTACCACAGCAAATGGTGACAACACATTAGAGTGCATCCATAGCACACCATGGTACACTATTTTAACATCTTCAGTGATCACAACTTCCTTCTTAACATGCGTGTCTGTAGTCCACTATTCTCATACCCTCTCTGTCTAGTTGGCTTTGGATGATTCTGTGGTAGTGGAGCCATTAGCCGGCGTTTCTGTCAAGTTTTGGACACTATTACTGACTCCTTAAACTATCCAAGAGCAGAATTGACCACTATAGCAACTGCTGTTGACATCTTCAGCTCTAGCATCTGGTTTGATATGACCATTTCAGATGATGTTTACTGCAACAATTCCCCTTGGTTATATACCTAATGTTCCCCAAACTCATGCAGCATTGCATAGGTTCACTCAGCAGCTACTTTCTGAATTTATCAATGCCATTTGTCCGATGATTCTTCAACATTATCTTTGGAAAGCCTTCCCACATAGTCATATTAGATCATGTACATAAACAGTAAAATTCTGACGGTTCCAAGTTCTGATGAGTCCGTGCCTTTGAGCCTTGAATTTGGCATCATGGATTGCTCAGTTCTTCACAGTACCAAATCTGTGGCATTTTCTCATTGACCAAGTTGCTTCATGTCCAAGTGCATAAAGCTTTGAGCCTTGTACCTTCATGGCCCAACATCAGGTGTTGTACTGATTTTCCCTGAGTCCAAGGCATCTTGGCCACAACCTGCCTGGAGTTTATGAGGAATCACTCCAATTGATTGCCACTTTTTAACTACTGGTGGGTTAAGCTGCTTAATTTGGTTAACATTTTGAAACATTGGTGCGGGAAGGTACCTACCACCAATGTCTTTATTGCTTTGCAGCTGATGCCATTAATGTGAACGAAAGCTCTCTTTATTCTTCTAAAGGTCTAGAGATGCGCATCCTGACAAATGTGGGATCCATGGATTAGGCTAACAACAGACTATTGAAATACATAAGCCATTTTTATACTTCTCACTCACCTCAGCCACCATATTTAGTCTTAAGCCAATATCAGTCCATTTTACCAGCCTGTAAGACTCCTGATTATCCCAGTTGCAGGATAGTGGTGAGATGTTGAGTGATCCACCTAACAAACTTCTTTCTTCACACGCACCTCATCTTTCTCCAAAGTTAAAAGCAGCCTGTCCACTGCTTCCATGCATTTTCTGGACTAGTCAGTATACATCTAGTGTTTCATAAAGATGTCCAGACTGGTTGTTACCAGTACAGTAAAGTTATGACCTCCTTTGATCCAGCATGCAAAAGATAATTAGTGATAGTCTGGTTTGTACAGC